AATCGGGAGCGTCAGGATCACATGTGAGATTATACAACTGTGAATGTTCAATCATTATGTGTTGATATTTTCCTCCCATCTGAGGCAGCAAAAGAAAGAAAACTATCCATGCATGATGTCGACATGTAGTCCAGCTCTAAATGCGTCGCTCCGTTTTCTTAGAAACTTGTGACGAGGATCAAACTTGTGACTTTGGGGACTTTTTCCACCGAAACACAGAAAAAAAAAGAACAGTCACGGCCTTCCTGTCGCTGCCGTCACCTCCTGGCCGCTCAGGAACACTGTGACTCCTTTTCCTCGAATTCAATAACCAAAATAAATACGGTTACCCTGCAGCTGAACTCACACAGTCTGACACACTGTGAGGAACATTTGTGTTGGCTGTGGAGGCAGACTGCAGACGTGTTGATGTTCAGACGAGCCAGACGTGTAGCAACAAATGCGCGACGGGGAGACCGAGCTACTGGAAGGACATGATTCTTATGAACTGATACCAGCGATGACTTCACTGCACACACACACACACACACACACACGGCCAGCCTGTGAGTAATGCTGATGTCATGTGCTTTGACTAGCAATGTCTGCCGCTCGGAACAGATGTGTTTTTGCATATGTGTGTGTGTTCCTAGTGCGAGTGTGTGTGTGCGCGGTCTTCTATGTCAGAGGGTGTAACAGGTAAACCTGCAATTACAATTCCAAGATGAAGGAAGTAAGGAAGGAAGGAAGGAAGGAAGGATGTGCAGATGAATGGCAGCGTGAAGTGAGTCAGGAGCTCTTTCATAAGTCTGGGAAGTCTGGATTCATCTGAATTCAATGACTCTGGAGGTGCTTCGAATCCAGCCCATAAAGGTGCATTTTGGAAGGAGCGCCGCGTTAGCCGCATTAGCATCGCAGCCTGTAATTGGTCTGCTTCTGATTCAATCAGAACCCGGCTCGTCGAGGCGCCGTTGTCTTTTGGCTGTATTAATTATGGAGCAGGTTGCTTTTGATTCCCCCCCACCTGCTCATTCTTTGTTAATCGGCGCGCATTTAATTCCAGGTGGCTTTAAAAAGGGAAGCGAAAGAGGGCGGACAGGTGACTGGATATCCTGAAAGTGTGCACAACAAAGTCTAGAAACACATCTTGTATCAGCGGGATCTGTCAAAACCTGAACTGTAACGCAACAGATATCAGAGCTTTCCTCCCGAGTCTGCTTCCAAGACCTCCTGAGGTAAAAAGAAAATTAGGGAAGCCCTCCTTTTTATTTCTATCATGACTACATCCCGCTTTGATCAGCACACCTCAAGTGTATAACGTGGATTATTCAGTGTTTTGCTTTGTTCCGCCGTGTCTTTCATCTCTCCTGTCACACTCCAGTGCATACAGCCCAGTACAGCTGGACCAGCTTAAAAATATCTTCCTTTTTTTTTTTTTAAATAAAGGCCAATGCATCAATTAGTTTCAGTCTGTCAACTCCCACACAATCTTCAAATCAGCAGCGTGTCTGTTTTTCTGTTCCTCTCTCTTGCTTCTCGTTTTTCTTTCTACCGTCGCCTCTTATTTCCCAAAGTTTTCTCGACATGTTCTTCCCACTCCCTTATTCCTCTACTGTCTCCTCGCAGTTCGTTCTGTTCTCCGTCTTCCCTCTTCGGTTTCCCTCCTTCTGTCTTCCAGACTAAACATCACGTCTGTTTTCAGACACAGGAATTGTGAGAGCTGCATTCTTATCTCGTCTTTCGGTTGCAAGTCCGGGCAATGATCTGAGCTGCACGGATCGATCGCTGCGACTATTAGGACACTTTTTGTTTTTAGTTGGGAGATGTTTTTATTCGCTCATTCTGAAAGTAAAACTCCCGCTTGTTGTTTTTTTTTTTTTCCCACAGAAAAGGCAACGTGACTCACGGCTCACTTGGATCAGCATGAAAGAAAATATCAGAACTTTGATAAAGGAAGAGAAAAAAAAAAACCCTGAAGGTACAAACTTGTCTGCGTACAGTTTATAGGGGTGAGAAGCGGGACAGATGTGATCGTGATCAAGCTAAAAACATGATCTACGGTTTGAATTAATTCACTTTTAAAGTTTACGAGAGCTTTTATAGAATAGAGCAGCTGTCGCGCCACATTTGGTTGAAAACCGCAGCGCGGCTACAGCAGGTAGTTTAATTATCTTTCACCCTCTGGATCCCGATGTCGGCTGGCAGAAGCATTAATCGTCCAAATTGCACCATTTATCAGAGGCACAAAGTGTAAAAACATAAATAATTGTTGGATTTTCATTATTCATCCGTCAGAAATTTTACCCAAACCTCAGCCTAAAGCCGTCATAATTCTTTAAAATTTCTTTATTCCAGATGTCTTGTTTCGAAAATTAGTCAAAAACAAAACACCACTTGGTCAAACCAGATTCTGTAGAAAACAAAAAAAACTGCTTTTTGGCGCAAACATGAAGTAATTCAGCTGCGACCAACAGGATTTTGGGATTTTTCGGCAGTGTTTACACGGACCATATATTAGACAAGTATGGAAAGAAATTTTAAATATAGAAAGTAAATTATAGGATGTTTTTAAAGATTCATTTTTTAAAATTATGTTGTCTGTAAAATTTGTGAAAAAAAAATTAAATAAAATCAAAAATGTCAGCGCTGTTTGCATGAACTCAGTGAAATGAGGCCACAAAAATGAGCAGAAACCGGTTCAGAGGGTTAACAAACATAAAGCAGGCATATATGAAGACTGGGAAGTAGATTATTACTTGTATGTAACCTGCTCAGCCAACACTCAATTAGAAGCTGTTTAATTGGACTAACTTATAGCAGCAGCACCTACACATTACTCACTGGGTTCTCGATTATCTCTGCTTCCAGTTTAGAAACTGAAAAGTCATCAAACATCTGTCATAACGTCTCCTCTGCTGCCCAGAAGAAAAGCTGTTTTCAGGGGAAAACATGGCCATGGACTCACCGCATCGCGCTTCTTTAAAAGTCAGAACAAATCCTGTTTTTCTTGGCTGGAGAGGCATCAAGAGAGTCAATCAAGAGAGTCAATCAAGAGAGTCACATCGTCCTCTGAACATTCATCTCTGCACGATCATGAACTGAATGTTATTTAACTGCTGGTCAGACAAAAGAAGAAACGTAATGACGCCACATTGGATTTGAAATTTGAAAAATGAAGTTACCAAGACGGTTTCATTAAGTTGGATTTAGTTTTAGATCAACTAATGCAGAAAAAAAAAGAATTGAATTTGCAAACAATATTAAGTCGATGCAGCACAACTCATCAGGATGTTTGCAGCTTTACAGGTTCGATTTCTTTTATTTTTGGTTTTTTAATCTTGAAGCCATGCATTTATTTAAGCTGTGGGTTCATCAAGCTGAACAATAAAACCAAACACAGTGCTGATTTTTGCAGATATTACCACATAAGTCATGATTACAGAGGAAGTTTTCTCTTTGTTTGTGTTTTAACATTAACATTAGAGCGATCTTCTGCCTTCTGCTGCAACCCAACAAGACAAGCATGTTGCCTCATGAATGGAGAACAAGTGATTATTTTCCCAAATGTTGCAGCGATCTTATTCTTTTTTTTGTAAATTTCTTTTCCACTGAAGAAAGAAGTGACACATTGCCTTGATAATGGGATTTCGTGCTGCAGTCTCCCAGACAAGCTCGTTCCCTCGCGTCTGGAGAATGTGATTTGCAGGTCGGGGCTTTGCTGTAGCACCACAATGCTTCATCTGTAATGGTATTTTTGCGACACATTTTACCTCCATCATCAAAATTCCCAGCTCCTGCAACCTGGATATTACATTTAGCCATATTGCACTCTCTACATTTGTGTTTTTTTCTTTTTTCTTTTTTTGATGAAGTCTTCATCTCTTGTATCCTTGTGTGCATTGTCTCCTCCAGAGAGTTGAATTGTGTCTGAAGCTGTGTGAGTCAGTGCTGCTGGTGACCTCAGCCGGACACACACACACACACACACACACACACACACACACACACAC